CGAATTGCCCTGTGGCTAAATCGACAATTTTCACCTCCTCAAGTCTCACAACTGTAGCAGCAACATTTTATTAGTTCACCGTCAGTCCACAAAACTTCCGTCACAGTGTGCTGCTCAGCACGTCTTGACGTGCTGACTGGCACGTGGCGACGGCATGCGGAAAGTTCCCCCGCTTGCCTTTTATTGTGAAATACATTATTTAGAAATGAACCATTCAGCTTAGAAATATTTCTCTTCAAGCTTGTGTCCGAAAATCTTCCATGTAACGGACTCACACAAAAAAGAGACCGAGCGCCGCATCCAGCCAACTTCACGCCGTACCGCCGTAATGTATGTGTCGCAATAAGTGGCTACTTTCTGTCTAAGCGGCCGGCACAACATGGTGGATTTTTCGTGCCGTGCCGCTGAACTCCGCGGCCAAATTATAGGTCTTTATGCAGGTTAACTAGCAGCTTCAACGAAGAAAACCTTGAACCTGTACCTAGCCCATTGTACTATACATAATTGAAACTTTATTGTTTGTTCATTCCCCGGGGGATAAATGCACGGATGCACAAAGTACAATGTACTAAAAAGTACTACAACAATAGTAATAAAGAAAGGCTAACATCACGTCTAAGGTATACAATGCTAAGAAAGAAATATATATATATAAATAAAGTGGTACAGATCTAAGTTCTAATGGCCTCTTCTATCTTTTTGAAACGTTTTAAAATATACTTACACACTTCATTGTTGACGTTTATATTTGTACATGATATGATATATTTGAAAGTGTCTTCTTTGATAATGTTTTACATTTTTGTCGAGCTTAATTGAATTGAACAGTGATTTACGTTCGTTATCATATAATATACAGTCAAGCATAAAATGCGATTGATCTTCAATACAAGAATTGTTACAGAATTTCAATAGTCTATCTTGTAACGGTGCGCGGCTTTGCCAGCCAGATTCTATGTGTAGAGGATTGTCGCTAATACCGAGTTAATACATGGCTCTGTGGTTTTCAAAATTTGGAATGTCTAAATATGGTTCTCTGTCCTTTAGTTCTTTAAATGTTTTGTATGTTCTCAGTTTGTTGCCTTTATTTTCTCTTTGTCCTAGTGCTTGTAGTACTTAGTTGAATTTCTGGATGAATATATCTTTTAATCTTTGTCTTAGTCCATGCAGATTGAATGGTTTGTTAATATACCCGTGTGTATATAGGCAGGCATAGCCGGACTCGTCCAAACTTGTCTACATGTTCAACAACCAACAGGGTACTTTACTTCTAACAAGGTCTTTTTGTACTATGTAAGCTTTATACTGAAGGCTTTCAACGGGAACATTTTTAACTAATCTATAATAATAGCTGTACATTCTACAATACGCTTCAATCTATATGAGGAAGCGGCCAAATTCAGCTCTACTGGCATACTTACTAGCGTTTCTTCTTAATCCTAGAATGTGCTTACAGAATTTTAAGTTCGTTTGTTCAAGCAAAGAGTTGTCATTTAATCTGTTGTTGCACCACAACACGTTGATCAAAAAGCTTAAGGTAAACTGATATAGGAGCCCTAGTGTCTCCGAGAGTACATTTAATGCGGAACAACGCTCGTAAGGCCTTTTTTGTAGTAATTTCATCGCTGTGTTAAAGTTACATCCAGCTGTAAAGACTACTCCTAAGTAAAAATAAGACGAAACTAAGACTTCTATGTCTTTGGAGAATAATGTAAAGCTAAGGTTTGAAAAAGCTAAGGTTTTATTAAGGTTTGAAAAAGCTAAGGTTTTATTTAGGTTGACAGTTTCCTCTTTTCGCAGGTCACTTTTCACAGGTCGCCTTTGTTTATTAAATGATTACAGGCATAACAGATGAGTTTGTAATAGCCTATCGCCCAGATGGTACAATCTTTCAGAGCAATGGTCAAAGGGGTCATTGTTGGCCTCCTCTTAGGGGAAGACACAAATACTTAAGATTTAAGCTATAAATATCTGTTCATGATTCTGTCTTTTACATGATAAAGGTCTGTAGAGAAATCACGTTTCCTGTCGGCTCACAAATTGGACGGATGTTCCCCCATCCGTAACCCTCTCCTATTGGTCCTCACTTCCTACCCCCTACCTACCCTACGACTCATCCTCATTCGTCGTCGCCACTTCATAGTGAGCGGTTACCCTTGTGTCTGTCCAGTTTGTGAATAGACAGGAAACTTAGTTCTCTTCGGAGTTTACGAAGAAGAGAAATGTATTCTTACTATAAAGAAGTTAGACCTTAGAAGCAAGAAAAACGTCCTTAAAGGTAAACAGTACTTTCATATGGAACACACTAATTCTTAATTTGCAAGAATTACAATCTTGATACGAGAATATGAATATTCATGCAAGAAAAACATTCTAGATGTAGCTATAGTGCAACTACATCAATATAAAAAACGGTTAGGATATTCTTACTACAAGATAAACTTAATAGGAAAATAATTCAAAGAAAAAATTTCTTAATTCATGGACAAAACCTTTTTCTAACGGGAAGAAAGTTTTCTTCCATTAGAAATGTTTTGTCTTTGTGGAAGACATGCCAGAACAGGACTAGTAGTCTGTGTTGTTTAAGGCCTGCATGGCTGTCTAGGCTAAGTAGATCAGCCTGGCAGCCCTGGGAATTCCACCCAGTGCACACACAATCTGACCCTGCAGGCCACACAGTTCAGACTAGTAGGCTGAGATTTCAGCCTGGTAGGCCACAAGCATTTTAATCAATCATAACTGGAGTTATAAACATAACTAATCATTGATTTTCACGCGAAGAGTGCCTAATGATGAGAGCTTTTGATTGATACAACACATAAGTGTTTAAAGTTTACACTGCTTGATTTACAATTGCTGGTGTCTTTTCCAAGTTTAAAGTGGCCCGTGTTACTACAGTAACGTACGAACTTCCCACGACGCCCATTTCCGAACTTGATCTTGCTATCGTCAACGGTAACTTGCTCACAAAAAATCGTGAACATCCATTTGCAGATTCTCGAATTATCCTGCTAACAACAATAACGACAAACACAAAAGGTTAAATTTAATGGCGTGGGAACCCCCCATGCGGCACATTTCCAAACTTGACCTTAGTATTCTCAACGGTAACTTGCCAACTAAAATCATGGACAACCATTTAAGGATTCCTAACTTATCTTGATAACAACAAAAAACACAAAAGGTCAACTCCATTCAAGTAAGAACATCCCACGAAGCCCATCACTAAGACAACCTGTCTGCCAAAAATCGTGAACCTCGGACCATCCCTTCAAAATGTATCGTGCATAATCTGCCAAACAGTGCCAACTCGATTTCATAGTCTTCTTGTCGAAGCAATAAGGAAATTCTGTAATTCCAGTGTTTTACATCATGGGACGTCATGTTTATAATCTATGGCAGAAGGAATATCACCAGTTACTAATTATGCGAATACGGACCTAATTTGAATAATTAATCTGAAAATTATATGTTTCCTTAGTGGTAAATTTTGCAAATTACAAACTTGAGACATGTGTAAGTTAATAAAAAGTTAACATCACGATGCAATCATTATGTTAATGTAGAGGTGATTTTCATAATTAAAGAAGAAGTTTACATTCACATGCCAAGCTAATATTTCATAAAGGTATGATATCTCGGAACTCTTGTTGTAATATTATAATGAGATATTTACTTGGGCAGCCCTAAACCAGCAGGGGTAGGCATTGTTCAGATGACAACAACGCAAGTAGTTTACACACCTCAAAAACACTCCCCTGCGCACGAATCTTTTTGCGCAGGCACCAAGAAAATTTCGCATACGACAACCGTCTGCGCAGAGGACGGTCTCATTAGCGTATACAGAGTTAACTGTCCGAACGGACCGGGCCATCGCAGTATTTTAGAAAATGTTTGCCTCATGTACAACTGGTTAAGCCAACACAGATGCTGTT